ATTTGTTTGCCCCCCTCCCTTTTAATTTATTTGGTCTTTTCCGGAGGGAGGGGGGAGGGGGGGGAGGTTGGGCTGGGAACTGTCCGAGGTGCTGAGATGGGGCGGGACCGGAACCCTCCTGGGAAAGTACCAGGAACTGGGTTGGGCCTGGGGCCGTGTCCAAGGTGCCAATGATGCGGGCCGTACTGTTTGTCTGTCCGTCTGTCCCAGAGAGAACTATAAAGCGCTGGAAGCGCCTGCAGATGGTTTCGCGCCGGCCTTTCTTTGGGCCCCGGGATAGAGGGAGCGGGGGCGGGAGTAGAACTGTCGGGGGCAGGGCAGGAGCACCAGAGATGGGGGTCTAGTCGGGTAAGTGGAACCCCGGAAACTGCTACTCTTTGGTCCATCAGTTTCCATTTTAAAGAGTAAAATGAGGCCCCGCGGTTTGAGGCCTAGTGGCCAAGTTGAATCCACCCAACCCCCAGTTCCCTCTGGTCTGACTAGCTCTCATAATGTCCAGGTCACTCTTAGGGACTGAGTGGTGAGGGCAGCAGAAATGGGCCCCTTCTGTGCTGTAACTGGTTGAGACAAAACTAGCTAGTCATTATAGATGCTTTTCTCCCCTCCACCCCCGTCCTCCCTAGCCATATACCCAGCCAAAGGTCTGGTCAGGCTGACTAAGTGTGTGTTCACCACTCTCAGGTGGGGCTGCCTGCCACACTCAGCCCCCAGGAGCCCCACAGCCACCACCGTGGGGCTGCTTTGAGGCTGCATGGAACACCCGCCCACCCAGGCGAGCCTTGAGAATCAGACCCTGGCCCTTCATTGCCAGTGAGGCTTGGACACAGACAGCTGGGGAAACGGAAGCCTTTCTCCAGGGATGAAAGAAGAAAAATAAGCTATTTGGCCTAAAATCCCTGTTCGGATCCCAGCGCTTCTTAACCCGTTTACTGTTTCGCTAGTCCAAGGAGGCCTGGCTTCCACAGAGCGCTTAGGCTCGGATTCTGGTGGCTGCCTTGGCCCTGAGGATCCGGGGAGAGAAATGGGAGGGGCCGACAGAGACCAGCCCCGGGCTCGCTGTCCGTGGTGCTGACAGGCGTGCTCGGCAGGGTGGGGGCTTGGAGGGGCAGGAAGAGTCGGGGGCTCGGCCTCAGCGAGTTTTTCCGGATAATTTGGGATTAGGGTGTGATCCATTCGGGCAGCAAGCTACGGAAGTCTCGCTCTAACACCCGGGAATGTCGGCTCCCTCTTGCCCTCTTGGGAGGACAGGACTCGACTCTGCTCGGTCTCGGCCCAGCGCCCTTGCACCCGGCCTGGAGCCGGAAATCCCCAGTCCAGATTTGTGAATCGAGTTCCCGGAGGGGGGTGGGGTGGGGACCGAGAGCCGGCGGAAGGGAAGGCGGGAGCAGCCGCCCATTGGCTGGAATTTGGCGCAGTCAGCGCGGTGCCGTCATCTCTCTTGGTTTGGGAGGAGGGAGGGAGGATCACTTGGGTCACCCCGCGGCTGTCGCCATAGTAACCAGACTGAGCGGGCGGCAGCGTCTCCACTCTCCCACC